CTCATAGGGCTTTTGTGAGAAACAAATACCCCCGCATGAATGAAAAATGGTTGATGAATGAACACAATAAGACTTTCACAAAGTGGTTCAAAGAGAAAATTATCAACGAGAGTAGTGCTTGTGATAAGTTGAAGTTTTTTGCTCTAGGGTTAAAGTTTGATGTGTTGTGCTGGAGTGGGTATGACATTAACAAATGTTCTTTCTACGGAATAGTGGAGTCATGGTTGTTGCTGAAGCCATGCACTTTTCGAGTGCGAAAGATAAGAACCCTATTCTTGCATCCATAGCGTACTTTGGAGTAATTGAAGACATTTGGGAGCTTGATTATTGTTGGCACAGAGAGGTTGTTTTCAAATGTAAGTGGGTTGACAGTAAAAGTGGTGTCAAAACCACTGATTTAGGTATGACATTGGTGAACTTAAATAAGCTATCATATACGGAAGAACCTTTCATCATGGCATCTCAAGCGAAACAAGTGTTTTATGTGACCGACCCTTCTAATAAAAGGTGGTCAGTGGTTTTGCAATGTAAAAACCCTCATGTAAGAGATGAAAACATTGACTCACTTGAGGCCCTTTCTACATGTCCATTGTCAAATCTTAAGTCGACGTTCATTGATGATACTGATGAATTGGATGATGTGCATGCAAGTCATAATGATCACGATGAAGGGATATGGGAAAATATTGATATTGGTCAAGATATTGATAAGGTGTTTTCTTAGTTATGTGTTTCTATTCATGCTAAATATACATTATGAAGTAAATAAATTTAACTAATCATTTTATTTATTTATTTTCACAGGAAAATGAGTGATCCTCATGGACCTCATACTAGCACTAGGTCAGATCTTGATCAGTCTTCACCAAAAAATCTGGCAGAGGCTACACGCGTTTACCTGATTTGACTCTCAATCGTATTGGTATGTGATTACTTTTAACATTGTGTTAATCATATATTACTTCATGGACACATGCACTCTAAATCAATGTGTACACATGCAGCTGATCAACGCTTACCAATTGAATTTGACGATCACTGGAGACCTATTGGGCCAAACTATGAGAAGTACAATAGTTACTTGCCATTACTTGGGCGTAGTAGGGCCAGTATCTTACGTGAAGATTGGCCGGATGTAGAGGAAGCTGTGAAAAATCGGGTTTTGGCATGAGCTTACGATATTTTTTATTGTTACAATGACATCAATTATATCATATCAAAACATTCATTAATGCTAATGTTTATTTATAATGTAGCTTACTTATGATGTTCCAAATAATCATAAGTTGAAACAGAAAGTGATCTCATATGCTGGTGAGCAATGGAGGGCATTTAAGACTTATCTTACTTCTATGTATGTGTATGGAACCAATAGTGAGAAATCACCATCTGAAGCTTATCCATGGATTGATGATGAAACATGGTCTGAGTTTCTTAAGAGCCGATTAGAGCCCGCATTTCAGGTTATATTTAGTTATTGCATTCTACATTAATAATATTTAAGTTTATAATGTTGTATACTTGCTTAAACTTATAAGTCTAATATAGTTGCTTATTGTGATAGGGGAAAAGAAGAAAGGGGATAGAGACTCAAGCACACAACGCCCACCCGCACAGAATGTCTCGTGGAGGGTATGCACTCCTTAAAAAAAAGCTCAAAGAAGAACAATTGAGGAAACACATGGAAGAATGACAATCTGACCCTTCAGTGTTGCTTAGTAACCCACCATCCCCGCCTAGGGTGCAAACTTGGAAAGCAAGTCGAGTGAACAAAAATGGAGTGTTTCTTCGTCAAGAGGCAGCTGAAGTTGCTGAAAAGATGGCAATACTTTTCTTGTTGCTTAAGTTAAGATAACTTATGGTGTTTTGAATTGGTGCTTACATGGTAAATGTTTGACATGATTTGTTAGAGAAACAACAGAGTGAAGGAACATTTGTTCCTGAAGGGCGTAATGATATAATCACCACTTATCTAGGTCCAGAGCACTCTGGTCGTGTACGCACTACCGGAAGAGGTGTTGGTCTTAGAGATTTCTATCCGTCGTCATCCCGTAAGAGTACTGACTCGAAAGAGAAGTTGAAAGAGGTGATAGAGACTTTGAAAAGAGACTTCCAAGAAGAATGGAAAAGAGACTTCCGAGAAGAATGGAAAAGAGAGGTTTATAATGACATGAGTGCTGATCTTCTTAAGGAGCTTCGCCAAGAAATGAAAGAAAATAATACCTCTCATTCTAAGGAAGAAGATCATACCATTCAAAGGCGTGTAAGCACGGGAGGAAGTAATTTTGTGCCTGAGTATGATGATGGTGATGAGAGTGACGACGACAATGATCTTCATGATTTGTTCATTGATACCCCGCCTCCCCACCGTTTAGTTGCAAAGGGAAAGATACATGATTTTGGAGATAAAATTCATCATCAAACGGTTGGTTCAGAAAATGTGAGAGTGGAGGTGGTTAAAGTTCTAGAAGCAAATGCTCCAGTCCCAATTCCAAGTGGAGAGGTTCAAACGGTGGGGCAAGCTCCTAAGAACTTCATTGCAATGCCAAGAAGACTATTAAAGGATGTCAAAAAGCAGGTTCCATTACTATATATTATTGTTAATGTTTAAACTTTTAAGCAATTTTCATTAAAAAGTAATTGTGCATTGTTATTTTATATAGGATAAAAAGGATGCACCTAAGTTCAAGTCCAAAGGTGTAGATGATCCTTTGTCGAGTTTGTGTTTATTTGCTAAGAGCTTGGGGTCAGATACTGTACCCGTGTATTTGCCCGAAGATGTGATAGGACGTGCCCCTATAGTTAACCATTGTAGTTTTAGAGAATTGGTTAAAGTTTCCATGGGTAGAGATCTCCTTAGTGCGATTATTTTACAAGTTCTCTATTTTAAGTTTATTCAAGTTTACTCATTAGATTAGTTAAAATAGCATTTTATTTACTTGAATCTTTTTGTGTTAGGTATCTACACCGCTTGTGCATATCCAGAAATATTGGTCATGTGTATAGATTCATTGATCCACACATCATTCAAGGAGTAGGCAATTCTGTAAATGAGGTGCAAATGTATATATCTACAAGATTAAATGAAGGTGGAAAGTGATGTTACTTGGCTCCGTATTACTACCAGCAAGTAAAAGTTACTAGAACACATATTTGGCTCTTTGTTGAAGATAAAAATATTTTTATGTATTTTTTTTAAAAAATTATTGTTTGTCTTTTATCCTTTTTTATGTATATAGGAATCATTGGCAACTCTTTATTCTCTTGTGTCCAAAACACTATTGTCTTCTTGTGTTCTTTGGGGAATAAGCCAAATAGACAATTCAAAAATATTATTGGTGTGTAAGTATTTTGTACATTCCGTTTTATTTAATTTTTAAATATATATTGTATATCTTAATTACATAAATTATTTATTATATATATATATATATATATATATATTTAATATTATAAATTACATAGTGCAATGGAGGCAAGCCGTAGGCTCAACTCAAGAAAGGGAAGAGTGAAATGGATTATTCCTATGGTAAATACTTACTACTTTACATTGTATGTTATTTTTACTTTCATTTGTGTAGCACCAAGTCGAATACCGTAATTTCTTATTTGTAATTATGTTGTTCTAATTTCTAGTTTCGGATGCAAGTTGGGATTTATGAATGTGGTTATTATGTGATGTTGCATATGTTGAATATTGTTTCGATGGTAATTCTTGAAATGTAGGATGAGGTACATTATTATTTTATTTACATTCAATAGGTTTGCTTCGCATGTAATATTTTTTAATAACCTTCTTATTTAATTTGTAGCGATTCGCCAATCCGCAACCATTCTCATCAGAAGAGATTGATGAAGTACGAACTTGTTGGACATCATATTTCTTAGAAATGACGCAATCCATCAACGACACATGATGAACGTGTTTGTTTAAGTTTTTGAGTGATGATGAGACTTGTAACTTTATACATTGTGCTATTACTCTAGACTTGTGCAATGATTATTTTATTTTAGCTTATTATTATGTACTAAGTTGTTACTTGAACTTGTTTAACATTTGTGGAAGAATTGAAAAATAGCTTGTGTTATTGTTTTAATTGGATCAATCGAACATGTGAAAAATTGTGCTATAGTAGTTGATAATACTGTTAATGATGTGATTATAGTATAAACATGGGTCATATTGCAATTTTTTCCGTGAAAAATACCAAAAAATTGAAGCTTTTCACATGAGTTGTGAAATAACTGATGTGATTGCTTTTCTACATGGGTTATAACCAATGTGAAACACACATGTTCCGAAAAAAATAAAGCTTTTCACATCAGTTGTGAAATAACCGATGTGATTTCTTGTTTACATGGGTTATAACCGATGTGAAAACCCTATGCTCCGAGAAAAATTGAAGCTTTTCTACATCAGTCGTAAAATAAACGATGTGAAATATCATTAAAAACGCCGTTTCGGACTATCTTCTAGATCGGGCACTAAACGACCGATGTAGAAAGACTTTTCACATCGGCTGTTTGACCGATGTCAAAAGTTAATACTTTTCACATGTGCCGGAACCACATCGGCTGTTTGACCGATAGATGTGAAAAGCCTTTTTTTACCGATGTGAAAAGCCTTTTTTGTACTAGTGTGATATATAGGGGAGTATTCTAGTAAAATCCCTTTTAAAATGAGAACTCATTTATAAAGGAGAACTCTTAATCTGTATTTTTCACATTTCAAATCAATGGTAGAATAAGAGAATATTACCCGAAATAGGATTAAAAATGTTTGAAAATTTCAAAATAGGACTGCCATTTTTTTATTCTCAAAATATGACTAATTACTGTCATGTTTTGGCAGTACCAGATTTCAAACATGGCAATATTTTCCAAACTTGCCAGTAATTACTCCTATTTTGGTAATAAAAAACATGACAGTCCTATTTTAGAATTTTAAAACTGTTTTAGTCCTATTTCGGGAACTTTCCCTAAGAATAAACAAGGTTCCATTTCAATAATTGTTTTAGAATAATAATTAAAAAAAAACATTGTTTGAGTTCTGAAAAGTACACAAAATACACCAATTTCATCTTAGCCTATCACGAGGTCATGTCTAGAATCAGATAAAAAAAGTACCTAATCCTAGACGACCTGAGCTCATGAACAATACATAAAAGAAAGACATCATGTTCATCCTAGACACAAAAGACCTCGTATGCATGCATGTATATATATAAAATCTTAGAAGCTTGGTCCTTCCAAACGGATGTAGTCATACATGACTCCATTAAAAAGGTACCCTCCTCTTGCCTGCCTCAAATATATTGAGTTTTCTCCGTTATGAAGTTCTCTTCCTTGAAACTCGAAGCTGCTAAGAGTGTATGCTCCGTGGATTCCGTGTCGGGCAATCACATTGTCCCTTCTGCTTCCGTCTGTTGTGAAGCTAGGGCGTGCATTTGGGTTATTTATCAAAACCTATGAGTAGAATGAAGATGATGATGATGATGATGACGACGATGATGATGATATTAATAATAATGGTTATGTACTCCGAATAATACTTGCCTCAATTCTGGCTAAGTTGGTGGCAGCTAATGCTATCCGAAGGGCATACGTTCCTGTTACATTAACGTTTTGGAACTGGAACGAAATCCTCCATGTCGTTGGTTCGTACGTTTTCTTCCCAACTTTCCTATATTTATAATATTATATGGAGAAACAAAAAGTCATTATGAAGATATATTTACACATAAAAAATGAGGGTATCATATGCATCATACATTTGATTGGTCAAAATCATTATTTCATTATTTGTTTATGTTTAATTGGTCCATGTGGATAAGATGCGGTACCTTGAGGATACCATATAATGTGCCTATAGATAAACCAAGAAAGTGCTTCAAAACAAAATAATACTAGTAATAACCCGAAGAATTAAAGTACCTGTTGACATGGGCAAAAAACCAATCCTTTCGATAATCACTTTCACCAACTTTGTAAACCAAATCTTGTGAAGGGTATAGATCTTTATAACGATCCCATAGACCATATTGCCTAAATCTGTTAGGTTTACACAAAATATATAGTTTAAGAATACACTTTACATCACTTAATTTCAACTTTCCTTATGCTAGGTTAAGTTTAAATATATAGATGGAGTATGTTTTTGTAAAGGGAAAGTTCCCGAATAGGACTACAACCGTTTAAAAATTCCAAAATAGGACTGTCATGTTTTTTATTCCCAAAATAGGAGTAATTACTGCCAAGTTTAGAAAATACTGACATGCCATGTTTGAAGTCTGAGACTGCCAAAAATGTCAGTAATTAGTCCTATTTTGAGAATAAAAACATGGCAGTCATATTTTGAAATTTTCAAACATTTGTAATCCTATTTCAGGTAATATTCTCTTTTGTAAAAGGCTAGCCAGGGGATCTTACTTTTCAGTATGATTAATCAAAGCGTAGTTCATCAGCTCAGGTCTAGGATCAGGTACAAAGAATTCCGCAGCCTTTCTATCAGGGATGCCGATTTCCCATATTGTTGGACCATTTCTAGGAGGTAAGAACTCAATCTCACCGAGTCTAGTTTCTTCTCCTGGTCGAACTATAATGTCACCTTTGTTTCTGTAATCTCCCAAGAAACCAGGGACCCAACCATATAAGTTATAGTTTCCAGGTCTTACTGCATTAATCTTGAAATATCCATTGCCATCCGTTTTTGTCCAAAATTGATAACCCTATACAATAACATTTGAAAAGGTTAACTTTGGGTCAAATATTAACTCTTAAATAAATCGAAATGGTACCTTAATAGTACATAAATGTTTCGATTTGAGATTTTATTCAAATTTCCAACAAAAAAATCCTTCATGACGATCAAAATTTAATGAGTAAAGTCACCTTATAGTGATCATATGGACAAAACTAAGGTGAAGTAGACTTTACGCATAGAATTCTGGCCATCACGCTTGATTTTTTGGTCGAAACTTTGAATAAAATCTCAATTCGAAACATTTATGTATAATTAAGGTACCATAAAAATCTGTTTTAAAAAAGATGATGGAAATCTATCGAATTAAATAAGGTAGGGCATGTCGTTTGAAAATTCCCGAAATAGGAGTAAAAACGTTTGAAAATTCTAAAATAGGATCCTCATGTTTTTGTTAACTAAATATGAGTAATTACGGCCAAACTTGGAAAGTACTGCAAAGTTTAAAGCCTGGGACTGCCGAAACATGACATAATTTACTCATATTTAGAGAATAAAAATATAATAAGCCTCTTTTGGAATACCCAGATGTTTATTAGTCCTATTTAGGACAATTTCCCTATGACGAAGATTCTATCAACCTTAGCATCTTCGTGCCATGACCCATCACCTCCGGGTGGAGCTAATCCGATGTACGCATATTTTGCTGGAATATGCTCTTCACATAGATATCTAAAAATAAGCATACATAATTAATTAGTTCCCAGCTCATTTTTTGTAAAATAAAAGGATCAGATAGAATATGTCTAAAATTTTAATTCTAAAAATCACCTATCAAGAATTAGTAATCGACCCGTAACTTTGCCTCGTTGGCTAGCACTTAGATAGTCCTCTGATTTTGGAAAAGCGTAAGGCCAGCTTTTAGTTTCTGCAACCATCTAGTGACATTTACAAATTACAACACAATATTGTTATCCAATATAATTGTGACTTTCATGAACAACTTCAAGTAATATGAGATATACGGCCAGGGACGGATCCAGGATTTCGAGTCAAGGGGGCGAAAATTTTCATTAGTGTAGGAGATAAAAAAAATCACTAGTGTAGCGGGGCAAAAAAATTTTCTGGTGTAGCGGGCGAAATTTTTCACTAGTGTAAGGTTGTGGCTATTTTTTTTCAAAAAAATTTCATTAATACATACATGACGACATTTAAATCTATATATTACATTCTAAGTTTAGACAATGACAAAATAACTTAAATTTTATAATTGGAGTGCTCTAGAAAAAAGTATTGATACATTAAAGCATAAGAAATGACAAATCAATGAAAAATGATAAAAAAATAAAAAAAATGATATATAACATTTTATTTAAATATAAAGAGTTTATAAGGTACACATTCACCACTACTTTTAAAATAACTTCAACATTGTTTAACTACATCAGTGTTCATAAGTCACAAACAGTTCTTTTAATATTACAATAGTATTTATGATATTATTATTTTTAGAATAATATTATATTGCTAATTCATATACATAGTGCATATTATATTTGTATTAATGCTAAAATAATTAAAGTTTATTATCTATGCAATAAAGTCTTTTTTAGAACGTAAGAAGTAAATGAATAATGTAATTCAATGTCAATAAACATTTATAATTTGGATTACACTTCACATTATCTAAAATCTTTGTAGCTAGAGTGTCTGGTATTTAATATCGTTTGATATATATTTTTCAAAATTGTTTACTAGTTATCGAATAAAGATAATTAAACATTACAAAACTAAGAATTTTTATATAATAAGTATCCTAAATCTCAAATAATGACTTCTTCTATTGTTTATTTAAGTTATGTAAATTATTTTAGATGATCCTTTTTATATCTCCAATTAAGTATTACATTATGTAAGACTATATATTAATTTTAAAAACTAAAAGTTAAGGGGGGCAATATTCAACAAAAAGTTAAGGGGGGCGAATCTAATTAAAGTATCAAAATTTTACAAAAACATTACATATATAGTAGAAAATTTTGAAAGTCCAAGGGGGGCGGTCGCCTCCCGCGCGCCCCCTTAAATCCATCCCTGGATATACCTCCGTCCCAATTTACCTAGTCATCTTTGACTTTTCCAGTCAAAGATGCTAACTTTGATCAATTATTAAACTAATATATTTATGCAAAATTTAATAATTTTATACTTTATGATAGTATTTTTAACAAAGAATATTTTCATAGTATTAATATTTTCTCTATATAAACATATAATCGGTCAAAGTTAGACGTCATTGACTTGAAAAATCAAGTTTGACTAAGTAAAATGGGACGGAGGCAGTACAAATTATTATGTTAATTAAGTTACCTCTTCTTTAGCATTTTCCCATAGAAGTTTCGGATTATCCCCTTGATTAGAATTGAGATAAATAAAAATTGGTCCAAATACCTTCTTCCATGCTTCCCCATTTCTCAAACCAAGTCTATAGTTATAATCAACATAATGGCTGCTGGAAAACATCTAAACCATAAATAAAGAAATGGTACATATATATCACCAATCAAAGACTGCTAAGGAAATACTTTGTACTCCCTCTGTCCCAAAAAGGTTTGTCAAATTGATTTTTTTTTGTCAATGACAATCAACTTTGACCAATGATATATTTTAATACGAAATTATTTAGAATATAAAATTATATCAAAATATTCTTTATTGAAAATATTTTCATAAAAGTATAAAATTTATAAATTATATACAAATATAATAACTAAAATCATTGCTCAAAGTTTGTCATCATTGACCAAGAAAAGTCAATTTGGCAAACCTTATCGGGGCGGAGATAGTATTATTAATATATAGGAAACACATTAATTACATACTGATAAAACTGTCGGACCAACATGAGAGGTGAGATCTTGTCTTATTGGTCCTCCGGCACGAAATTCATCGGTCCCGGTGATGATCCAAAATCCAACATGCTTTTTGCGACAAATCCATCCATGTACTTTGTTATCTTTATTTTCTAATGAGTACTGATACTTATGGTCCACCTAAATAAAAAAGCACATAAATTAACAGGGCCGGCCATAGGGGGAGTTACCCTAGACAAGTGTCTAGGGCCTCCAAATTGTAGGGGTCTCTAATTTATAAAATAAGCTTATTAATATTATTTAGGAGACTTTGTCCGACCGTCAACATTTGGGATAGTTTCCTTTTTAATTTTTTGATGATTTTTTTAGAATCTTATTCATTATGTCTAGTTTACTCATACCAAATTTCACCTAAAATTCAATCGGGAAGACATTCAAATGAATTCTTGAAGATAACTGCGCAGTTAAAAGCGCAGTTATCTTCAAGAATTTATTTGAATGCCTTCCATGTTGAATTGTTAGCTGAAATTTGGTATAAGTAAACAAGACTTAATGAATAAGATTCTCAAAAAATTTCATCAAAAATTTCACCGGGAACTGCCCCAAATGGCGACGGCGGGACAAAGTCTCTTATACAAGAGCTTATATGACCTTTTTGGTTAGTATATGGGCTTATTTGCTCCTTTTTCCTTTTTTTTCTTTGTTGGCTAGGGCAGTAGGGCTAGGGATTTAGGATAATGAGTATTCTAAATATATTTGAATGCTTATTGAATAATTGAAATTGTAATTTGTTATTTTGATTCATCGAAATATTGAACATACTTATAATTTTTTATATTTGATTAAATTTAGTGAATTAAATTTATATCTATGAACCATTAACTTATATTTAGTGATAGTATTATTTTGAATGAAATTTTATGTTTTGTGATGATTGGAAAACAAAATATGAATCAAGATGTACAAAGACAAAGAAAAAAATTAAGAAATGATTTGGTCATGAAATCACTTTCCGGCTCTATCGATCGGTATGTTGTATGTAAGCACAAAATCTTCTCCCTCTAGAGCTCTTTGTATTTTTTCATCAACTTTGATCTTCTGATTTCGAAGAATATTCTCACTGTGTTAATAGTATATGATGTATTTTATATGTAATTTACTTATATTTAATTGCTATTTTTTATATCATTGGGTTAAATAAAACATATTTAAAACAAAATTTCTACATGATCGTCTAGGGCCTCATAATTGCTCTAACCGGCCCTGTAAATTAACTATAATAAGCGAGTCATTAAAAGTATAAAGGGAGTCGTATTATATAACTAACTTACCTCTCCCCTCATACTAGGATTGGATGGGTTGGTTAGTAAGACAGCTTCTCTATAATCAAGTTTCTTTCCAATAGATCGGTCTTTATCACTGGGCATTTCTCTTTGTATCTCATCTGATATGACCATATAGTTGAACCTATATAAATATGAAATGAAGAAAATACACTTAGTATGATCTTATTAAATAAGGAAAGGGTTCATTATGAATCCTCAAATCAATTTTGAGTCTAACTAATAATCACGATCTAAGAAATACGGGATTGACACAGATTTGGCATATCCATGTCAAATCTTTTATGAACTTTGGCGAATTCCCGCCAAAAATCTCAGTCAATCTCATGTTTTTTTGTAGTAGATGTAGCTTACAGTGCTCGTCGTAGCTTGATAGCTAGCCGATTTTCAACGATATCTACATCAGGCCATCCTTTAATATGCTCATAGATTGCGTACGTATAAAAACCAGATCGTCTGGGCAACATTACATACCTACAATATGTAAAATCAAATATTTCCTTTTTATTGCATTGCATCGAAAGCATGCACACAAGTGTCATTTCTACTATCACTATAAAAAAAACTCGGTATAGGCACGAATACAGGCAGGGATCTCTTCACAAGACCTAAAGTTTAGCTGTTGTGAGCCAACAACCAAGACGAATTTGGTACGGAATCTTTCCGTGCCTATAACGACGTTTTTTGGTAGTGTATATTTGAAATTTATTAACATGAATATGTATGTGAGTACCTTTTATCTATGTTTAAAGGAACACTAGAAGCATCTTTTCGATCATAAGCTTTTGTGAAGGAGACCTCGATTTGGTTTTCGTCAGATGTGATAACTCTAAAATGTTTCGCTTTAAGCCTTCATTACAAGACAATAAACAATTTGTAGATTCATTATATTTTTTGGAAGAGATTTTGTAGCTGTTAATTCTTCAATGAGAAAGTTCCCGAAATATGACTAAAACAGATTTGAAAATTCCAAAATAGGACTGTCATGTTTTTTATTCCTAAAATAGGAGTAATTACTGTCAAGTTTAGAAAATACTGTCATCTTTGAAGTTAGGTACTGCCAAAACATGGCAATAGTTAGTCCTATTTTGAGCGGAAAACATGGCAATCCTATTTTGTAATTTTCAAACCTTTTTAGTCCGGCAATATTCTCTCCTTCAATTCATTGATGAAGTTAAAAACTTACTTATCATAATTGCCACGGTTGTCTGTCTCTGGCCTCATCCATACAATATCCCAATATCTACATACAATATAATGATATTGATAATTTTGCTTATTCTTAAATATATTATGTTGGAGTAGTTAGTATTACTATTCTAAAAAACAAAGATGACACCCCATCCCTGAGGACCCCCAACCCCGACCGGATGATACGTTGGGATGATGTAAATTGGACTATAATCACAATTTGACAGTCAGAGAGTGAGGCTCTATTCTCGTAGTATTACTATTCTAAACAATACAACATATAATAATTAATGTTTAGTTGTATTACCCTCTATTTGTTTCTTTGAAACTATGCTCAAGTACGTTATCAATTCCATGATATTGAATCCCTACAATTGCACCCGTCGGGTTTGATAGTGTCACTTTGATGAAACCATTGTCCATCACCACCTGTACAAAATATAAAAGTGAAATTGTTCTATTAAAGAATTATTCTCTCATTACCAAACAAAAAAGTTCAAACATTATTATTTCAACATATAAATTTATTTATAATCATTTGTAAGTCTACAAAGTTTAATATACATGTGTATGTGTGATGTCAAGTCTCAATGAGATAGATGATATTAGTTCTTGAGTGTCATTTGTCGGAATTGACCTGCATGAAATTCACAGAAGAATATTATTGTTAAATATATTAGTGTAAACTTCTTTAATATATATTAAAATTGTGTTATAAACTTAATATATATAGTATCGATCTAATTAATATATAGTACGTAGTATATTGATTAATTAGTGTAAACTTTCAAACACTTTTTTAATTTATAGTATCGTTTTTGCTCGACATAGAATAGTTTACATAGGGAAGGTATAAGGTATTAAAATGTTTGGCATATTTCATATAAAGGAATGCAGATACTTTAAGATTGAATTTAAAAAAAAAAGGAAAAGGTGCAAATAAGCCCTCGAACTAACCGAAAAAGTGCAAATCACCCATTTTATAGGAGGCTCTGTCTGACTGTCGCCATTTGGATCGGTTCTCGGTGAAATTTTTTGATTAAATTTTTTGAGAATCTTCTTTATTAAATCTAGTTTACTCATACCAAATTTCAGCTGAAAATTCAATCGTGAAGGCAGTCAAATAAATGTTTGGAGATAACTGCGCAGTTAAACAACGCAGTATATTTCAGAAAATCATTTAACAAACTCGAATTTTAAAAGAGGAAAAGGAAATCACCTATTAGTATTTAATTTTCTATTACTAAATTTAAAAAAAAAACACTGTTTGAAAATTAAATTACGATTTGACCAATTTTACAATATTTTCCAAAAATGTTATAAAACATTAATAAATAAGTGTAGTCAAAATAGAACATGAATGTGAATAATGTAAAATTAGAACAATCAATACTTACTTAATTGCATGAACAGAAGAAAAAAAGAACATGAAGAAAGTGATAAAACCCCAGAATTGAGTATTTGATCCTGTCTTGCTTGCCATCATCCCAAGGAAATCAAACTGTTACGTCGTAATCAATAACAATACCTAAGTAAGCTACACTACTTGGCATTAAACTGTGATTGAGAAGCTTAATTACTGTTACTGCAATATATGGAAGACATGAAAAAACTTAAAAGAAGATGAAAAGGCTAATTAGGCCTCAACAAATGCTTGGAAGAGGTGCCATTTACAAATAGTTGCTCCTAATTATGCGTAAATCATTATTTTTTAGCACTATGCCTCCTGAATCTTTGTTTGGATCTCAAAAGAGGAAAAGGAAATCACCTGTTTATTAACCATTAACTCAAAGTTTGGTTGAAAACAAACTTTGAATAAAAGAGTCACTTCGTAGAGTACATCTTCACAAAATGTAACAGGTGAAAAGGAGGGCGCTTCAAATAATACATTCAATGTCATTTTGTTATAATGTGAAATAAAACTTTTATTTAAGAATTGCAGTTTTTATATTTAGTCATTGAATTTTAATGAATCAGACCTGAGTTTAGGTAGGACCGACACTACTTTCGAGATCCAAAAATACCATTTAGGTGTAAAGGGGATGGATTCCTAGCGCTAGGACTGGTCATATAAAATGGAAGTATATACTTCAAAATTCAATACAAGTAAAATTCATTGCTGAAATATTTGTTGTTGTTATTAGTTGATTAATAACATTATTATAAATAGAGAAAGTTTGAGATTAATTTACAGGCATGTATGATGTACCACAGGGGAATTTGCAAGAAACAGTGAGTTCCTTCGTCTTTGAGCAAGAGCTAGCTTCCTCAGACACCTGCTTGGTTTTGTGGCGGCTTGAAAAAACTCATCAGCGCTGAAATCCATGGAAGCTTCAGCATAAACGGCGCCGTTCCCATTGCCGCAGTCCACCTCCGCCTTTCTATTCAAATTCAGCTTCGAGTAGATAGCCAGCTTTTTTCCTCCATTGGCTCCAGACTTTTGCATATATACTTCAAAGGTGCCGCTCACTTCATCATCTCATACGTAGTACTCTTATCCGTTCTTTATTAACCGTCTCGTATTCCTTTTTTGGACGTTTTTAATTATTTGTCCCTCTTTTCTAAGGTGCACCCACTTGATCATCTCATAAGTTTTTTCAATCAAAATATCTTTATACCTCCACTTTTATTACCATTACCATTTTCTCTTTCCTACTTTTTCATTTACACACAATCCACTACACCTTTTACACCACCTTATTATTTTTCTCTTAAAACCCGTGTCAAAGCCTAAAAGGACAAGAAATAAAGAATGAATGGAGTACTTTGTAATATTTGCACTCTTATAAACTTCAAAATAAATATGAGATCAATTCAAATCATTGTAATGATTTAAGAATTAAATAGCCTTAAAGTACCTCATTTATGTTTTTTGGACTAAAATATGCTTAATAGACTACTTCTGTAGTTTGTTACACTTTAATGTATTTAAAAGTTTGTTACATTTTTCTTTTTTGATAAGTTTTTCTTTTAAACATATTCAATTATCCTTACTTTTTCTACTTTTTATCTTCTCTTTTTTATTTTTTCACTCTCTTTTACTTTTTCTACACTATTCCTTACTTCTACTAGGTCAATTTCAATATTGTAGTGAACTTTTAAATATGGAGAGAGTATTAAGATGTTTTTACTTGGAATATTTTTAGTCTCAGACCAAACAAGACCAGATCAGACTAGACCAGACCATACTTGGATAGTTATAAAATACACAGCAACCAGACTTTACTAGACTAGACCAGACCAGACCAGATCAGAAAATTTCCGTTCAGGTAAAATTATTGTTGTTGGTGTGTTAATTTTAGTATGGCATTTGAAAAAGCCAATAATCTCTGTTTGCCTTTATAGTTGGCTTGTTATGATTATTTTAGATCATTTTTGTCTAAAATGTCGTACAATTGTCCAAAAGTATCTCCTGTTCCTTTTTAATTCAAAAGTACTTTAAAGATATTAACTCGAACCCCTAAACGAGGCTATACTTGATTAGGGGTGAGCAAAAAACCCGATCCCGTTGGTCTGTTCCGGAACGTTCCGGTTCCGTTTCGAAATTGTCCCGTTAAATTCGGGACAAACTATTTTTGTCCCGTTCCGGTCCCGAACCGTTTCAAAACAAAACGGGGTCAGGACAAATAAAATATGTCCCGTTCCGTCCTATTGTCCCGAATTCAAAATTGTATATAGTTGTGGTTAGTGAGTCTACCATCAATTCAAATACTAATGAATTAGGTATTAACTATCTAATATGTAAAACATATGAGGGAGTCTAAATTATATCAAGTATGAACTATCTTCTACATACTAAAAAGAAACTCATGTATACTTCACATGTTTCACTTCTAATAATATTGTTTGTCTTTTTATTTATTTTGTAGTTTAATTTCTTAGTAGTATTGTGTGTGTTGGAGTTATTGTTGTTGTTACGGTTTGTTTCGTGCAACTACCCTATTAATCTACTATATTTTGTGTTGCATTTATCCTAAATTTTTGTATGTGTTGCATTTTTAGTGTTGTAGTTTTTATCATGAACTTTCGTTTTGGAGCTGTATTATTTTCGTTGCAATTTTTTGGGATGTCCCGAACCGTCCCGTTCTGTTCCGGTACCGATTTAAATGGGACAATAGCGGGACAACATCTTGTCCCGTCCCGTTCTATCCCGTTATCCTAAATCGGGTTCGGGACCGGGATAGTCTAATTCCCGTCTCGTTCCGTCCCGTGCCCACCCCTACACTTGATTCTGTGATTATGAATGTCACTTTTCCCCCAAAATGTCACACTCTACGGTATTATTAGTTAATTTGCATAAATGGTGTGTTTATAATAATGACACTTTTCGCTACATGAAATAAAGTAAGGGTCGTTTACTTTATTTCTATTAGGCCTTCTTTGAATTAAGACGTCTGTCTAGGTTAAGATGTCTATCTGAATTAAGTGATATTTGTGTATGAGGCTGTTTATTTTGAATGTTGAATAAATATTTTTAATCGAGTAAAATAATCAATTAAATGTTATTCTTAGATTATCACGTCAATAAAAAACTTCATTTATTAATGTATTCCATGATCAATTTGAAAAAATTGACAGAAAAAACATCTTAATAGACGTCTTTTAATGACTTAATGAATAATAGTAAATTGGTTAATGATTAAGTCCATTTTTCCAATTAAGTCGTAAGTGAAAATGATTTAAATTATTAAGTCCTCATTAAGTCCGTTATTAAGGGATTTTTCATGTAACGGTATTTGAAAAAGGCCGACAATCTCTATTTGCCTTTATATTTAATTTGCCCAAAAGTATATGCGATTCCTTTTTTTTTTGTTCAAAAGTACTTTAGAAAAAGTTAACTAAAATCCCTAAATGAGGCTAGACTTTTGACTTTGTGATCGTGGTCACTTTTTTCCAAAATGTCATTCTCCACAAGTCTACAAAATTACTATATAGAATAACATACCCACTTTTATACCCACACCACTATTGTGTAACGTGAAAATCTGAGGCATCAGTAGGGGTGGACACAGTTGATTGATCGCCTTTCAGTTAATCAACTTTCGGTTAACTGATAGTTCGGTTACTGTATTTTCAATACCATTATCCGAACCGTTACATCGGTTAACCGGGTATTGATTAACCGAAATTCCGGTTAACCATTAACCGGGTATTGAAGATATATACGGAGTATGAGATACTGATTTATTGCTTTTCAGACTAATGCATGATATGGTCGAACTAATATATTTATATACGTAGTATTTAAAATTCAACTTTAATTTTCTTAATAAATTAGAAGAAATGATTATGCATTGTGCATAGTTAGTTAAATACGCTACGGGAATTAAACGTGGTTTAATACGTACGTGTTTTATTCGCTAACATGTACAAAAATACGGTCAAAAATTCGGCAAAAAATATGTTGCCTTTTATAAAACGTGTAAATATGTATGTGTGTATAATACGACATCTCTTATAAAAATTCGGGTTTAAAATACGGGTCTTGTTTTGAATGATTAAATTATTGTACTAGTTTTTAGAGCATAAAAACTGTTGGAAAAATGTGTTAAACATTGCATTAAATGGTCACTTTGGGGCAATTATTTGAGTGGGGTCCACTTCCGATTTGGGTCGGGTCAAAGTGGTTTCGGATTGTCCTTGTTAAGGAGGGATACCGGGTGAATGAGAAATTGATTCTCGAAGTTTCACTCGTTGAAATGGAAAAACTGGGAAAATGATGGGTTTCTAGTATGTTTTATACCACACCGGAAAACTCAAGGGATTTTCACCTTGAGGTATTTACGTAAAACCCAAAACCTTGGACTGCACTATGGAAGATATCCAGCTGTACTTGAAGGGTATAGCGACGCTAGTTGGATATCTGACATAAAGGACTCTAAGTCCACAAGTGGATATGCTTTCACTTTAGGAGGTGCAACCGTGTCGTGGAAATCCGCAAAACTAACGTTAATAGCTAGATCCACGATGGAGTCTGAGCTAATAACCTTGGATAAGTGCACTGAAGAGACTGAATGGCTACGCCATTTTGTCGAGGATATTCCAAGTTGGGAAAAGTCTGTCCCTCCAATATGCATACATTGCGATTGTCAAGCGGCAATTGGAAGGGTACAGAGCAATATGTACAATGGTAAGTCTAGACACGTTCGTCGTAGACATAACACCATTAAACAACTCCTCACAACGGGTGTTATCACTTTTGACTACGTGAAGTCAAAGGATAACATAGCGGATCCGCTAACAAGGCATTGGATAGAGAATTGTTGGAGAAGTCACGAGGAATGAGACTAAAACCCGTGAATTGAAAAGTTCTATAGTGGATACCCAACCTAGTTGGTCCTAGGTTCAAAAGGGACAACTAAATTATAGAGCGAAGGATGGTCACTGTGGGGGTCCCGGACTCCTACCCACTCCTCGTTAAAACAGTGACTCCCGCACGAGGTTAGCAAAAACGTTTGCTTTAATGATTCTAAAATGTTGATCCACTCGATAACATTGAAAGAGTATGCGGGATACTCGTGAAAGAATCACCTATGTGAGAGAGAAGAGGGTCGCTTCAAAGGAGAGCTGTAAAGGCTCAGTTTTTTAGAAACTCTTGTAGAACCAGGACGGTGACCCATGGCCAAAACTGGCACACCCATGAGAACGGAACAAAGTTGGAAGGTTCTTTTGTAAAGATAAATCAATGTTTACACGACGACAGTATAGTTCAAGGACATCGAGTCTACTAGACAGTCAGTAAATAAATGTCTTTACAGCGGAAGGTTCAAAGGATAAAACCTACCTCTCCGTACGCAAGGATCATCTGGTGAACACAACGTGTCCTCCTATCTTCGTGACTTTTTAAGTCTCGAAAATCAATTTTCATTCATGTGGGGGATTGTTGGAAAAATGTGTTAAAATTGCATTAAATAGTCATTTTGGGGCAATTATTTGAGTGGGGTCCACTTCCGATTTGGGTCGGGTCAAAGTGGTTTTGGATTTTCCTTGTTAAGGGCTACAATTCGATATATGGTACGCTCAAAACGGATAACGGGTGAATGAGAAATTGATTCTCGAAGTTTACTCATTGAAATGGAAAAACTGGGAAAATGATGGGTTTCTAGTGTGTTTTATACCACACCGGAAAACTCAAGGGATTTTCACCTACTTATAAAAGGAAGCCTCTTTTAAGGACCTAGTTAAGATTTCTAAAGGTGAAGGCTCTCTCTCGCGCGCAGGGGGAAGGGGGTGTCGATCAAATCCCGAAATCGAAGAACAAAAACCGTAACTCGTGTGCGCGGGCGACTTGCGGACACGAATGCTGTTCGAAAAATCTATTATTCAAAGATACGATTCAATTTTTGTTTCTTCCCGTAAACGTTCCTTTATTTTTTCCAGGCTGGCAGAATCCCTCCGTTTCTGTCCGGACCAGAATAGGGTTCTGTTCTCAACAAAACCGCTCTGCTTCTGTTC